CAGAGCTGCAGAGAGCTGATCAGAACAGCTGTGATCATTGTTGTGTTCAGAGCTGAATGATCTGAGAGAGAAGAGTCTCTGACAGTCTGTGAGGTGGGAGGTGTGAGCCTAGAGACCAAAGATGGCAGCACCTACAATCAGCTGTCACTCATGGGAGTGTCACTCCATTAGGTGAACCGGTCCAAAGTTACTACTCATTATGAAAAAACCCTGATTCTGATGACATTCAATTCAGGAGCCTGCGATCAATCTGAATCCTTTTTCACACTCCTGCTGAATATTCCAGAAAATAGAGAGTCCGCCCCTGAAAATCCTCTGGGTTTCCTGTTCACATACATGCACTTCACACAAGAGATTCTCCCTGTCTGACGAGGGGTAACGTGAGGAGGCAGGACATGACGTTTGAAAGACGCAAAAATGGTGTACGAAGCGTCAGAGCCTGATGATATGACGACGTTTGTATCTTTATATCAATGCTGCGTTTAATTGGACGTATTATAGTGTAATGGTAATTTTCCAATTTTTCCTTTGCTCCAATTATTGCATTAATACACAGGTAGGGGTGAAGTCTTACGCAGATGCAAACAATGATTTTCCAGCCGTTATTAAAGTTGAGTTTATTGAAGTGACTTGATGGAGATATGAGAAAAAAAACATACCATTTCCAGTGAAGCGTAGCCAGTAGAATGAATGAATTGTAGTTGGTCTGAGTGCTGTCTGAAACATGAATTCGGTCTGGTGAGAACTGTCTTTGCTCCCCGTACCTGTGCCTTCCTTTCCTGTCACCTGTGCTACTATATATATACACCCCTGTGCATTCAGTGTCCCTAGTGGAAAATAATATATTCAGATAAATCTAATTATAAAAATGCCAATGATAAACACAAAATGGCTCCTACACATAGTATCAGAAAACAGTGTGACTGGTTGTTTGACCTGAACGTCAAGATCACATGTTATATCCTGAATAATATCCGATGCTTTCAATATGGACGTGACCAGACTTCACACGGACATTTTAGTAGGGGGCTTGCAGGATGAATTCTGAAGGATGAAGTTGGCTGTCGGCGTTCACACATGCAGGTCACTCAGAACATTTCAGGAATGTTGTGCACGTGTTGAAACACCTTTATCGACACATCATCATGAACAAAATTTACAGTTTCATTTATTTCAACTCACAAAAAAATCCAAAAACAGGAATCAGATAATTTCATAACGAGACTCTGACATTAAAATGGAAAAAAAACAGACTCTGTTGTGTTCATTATGAAGCGCTGCATTTATATCTTTGATTTAAAAACTTGTGTTAGCAACAAGGTCATGTTTTTTAGGTGCATTGAGTTACTGACAGAACTCAACTGTGCAGAAAGCATGGAAACACCCCTTTGCATAACATTTATTTTTACACATCCACACCAACATCCCGGGTTCCTCTTCAGCCAATAACTCAGGAAAGTCTGGAGAACCTTTAGATTTGTTTCATATGTCAACTTTGACTCGAGGATATAATAATGATTAATAATTGGTGACCTGTGATCTCTCAGAAAATGGTTTGGACATAACTGGACAAGAAATCAGAAGCTTATTGAGATACGTTTCACACAAAAGGTCTTAGTATAAAATGATTAAATGACGTCAATCTTAACCAGGAAGTTTCACTTTGTGTGACGTCATTGTTGTTTCTCAGTTCACCTGCTGTCAGTACTTGTCCTCAGACGAGGTACAAACTGAGTGAGAGGTTGATAAAACCTCAAAGATGGTGGTTCAGATCTTTGTGGGCTGCAGGTGTCGATGAGCCTGAACGTGTTGTGAGTCTGCAGACAGAGAAAGGGGAGTTCTTGTACTGACTGCACACAAATCTGCAGCACTGTGTCGACTAGCAGCACAGAAATAAACGCCACTGTCAGTTAAGGAAAGGTTAGAAACAGAGAGGCTCGACTTTTCCCGTCCATCTCCGTCAAAGTTGATCTTTCCTTTCACGTCCGGCTCCAGATTCACATGCTGAACATTGAGAACTCCCAGAAGCTTCAGCGCTCTGTGTGCGTCTTGTTTGTACCAGAGAATACGATCATAATTTGTTATATTGTGGGAACATTTGATTTCTCCGGTCACTGATTCGTTGATCCTCTTAAAGATGGAAGGAGGTGTTTGGTTGACATCGTTGGAATGAGAGACACCTGTGGAGTTAAAACACATTTTAGATACTGAAGACGTTTACTGTGCAGCTTTTTACTTCCTTTACTTTGTTTGCATGCTTCCTCACCTTTAACACTCGGATGATGACTGAAGCAAATAATGAACAGTATTAACATCATGTTGTTTCCTCTTTAAGTCTGTTTAGTCTGTGTGAGAGCATCAGAGCACCTCACTGTGACGGAGAGGAACGGGGGGCGTTGTCAGAAACCTTCACAGCTAACTGTCTCAGCAGGAGTCACACTGTTGATGTTTCCTCAGCAGAAGGCGTTCCAGTGTTTGGCTTGTTAAAGTATGTCTCCCTCTGCTGGTGTTAAAACGAAACTGCGGTTGCTTTCAGTGAGCAAAGGATGTGTGACGCTGAATCAGAGTGGGGCTGAACGATGTTGGATCAAAAGTTATATTGCAATATATTTAATTTCTGCTGTCAGTGTTTCCTCCATGTTGATAACTTTTGCCTCTTCTTCCTGCAGGTTCAGTCTTTCCTGAATCGTCTCCGTCCGGCCTGTTGGCATGCTCGTCAGCACGCTCAGCTGACAGCCTCGATTAGCCACTTCAGATCATCTCCATTTTCAATAAATACCTGCCTGCCCTACTACCTGTCTGTGTCTGGGTCCCTTAACACACATGTTACATCATTCAGTCCCGTTAATCTACATCACTCAACACGTGCTTCAGATGAGTCTTCAGGATATTAATGCTCCACATGTATCAGCCACAGTCCAGCTCATTACTGTGGATGTACTACAATGATAGACTGTATATTTAAACGGACAAAGCCTGAGTGAGGTCACCCATCTGTTCCTGCAGGGGGCGCTGGAGTCCCATCGATGGCGGTCTCCAAGCTGGAAATGCTGTCTCAGTCTAAAAGTGTATGAACACCTTGTCAAGCAGCAAGTTAAATAAAACGTTATAACTGGAACCTGTGACTCCTGCTTTATTTAACCAGTCACACCAGTGGTGGTTGGATTTTTCCGGAACCCAAGTTTTGAGAGAAGCCTCAGTCAGCTGATCTTTCTTTTAAAACCGACCTTTTATATTTGTTAAGCACCAGTTGTTTTAAGCAAAAATTTTAATCTGGAAAGTGAACTACACATTCTTATTTCCATGGCATAAGTATTCCACAAATTAACTTTTACCGAAATACACCTGTTCTTTGTGTTTGTCCTTTATTTTTTGTGCCTTTGTTAGAGAGACAGGACAGTGGATAGAGACGGAAATCAGAGAGAGAGAGAGAGGATCCACATGCGGGAAGGGAGCCACAGGTTGGATTTGAACCTTGGCCGCCCACTTGGAGGACTACAGCCTCCACACATTGGACACCAGCGCCCCACACACACACTATTGTTTTCTGATATGATGGTTTTAGAAGCGTCAGGAGACGTTTAGAATGACGTCATATAGCGGTCCACTTCCTTGTTTGAGCGGTTGTGTTGACATCTCTCGCAGACCGTTTTCAAGCACACATGAATCCTACCTGAGACCACCTCTTCAAGCAGACTCGGGCACACTACCCGATACAGTCCAAGTACAGATAAATAAGAGTGTGTTGTTGTTTGAATCAGAGGAACCAGTCAGATGAATCAGGACAAACTGTATCAGCTGTGATGTTACCTACCGTGTAAAGAACCCTCACTGAGGCGGAGGGATACACATTGTGAAAAGTCCCACCTATATCTCATGGATCTTGTCCAATCAGGATGCTCTGTGGGAACTAACAGTTGTCTGATCACATTCTTCTTCTCTTATCTGACATTAAAACTGTTTCTGATTTCAGGAAAACTCGACCGCAGTAAGAATTCCCTCGAGGACTTGCGTCATGAAAGAGCTCTGATTTCTAAGGCAGGTGTCTCGTTGACGTCCTGAGAAGTTCTGCTGTGTATTCAATGAGCTGCTGCTGCTGCTGCTGCTGTTGTTTCTGATGCTAATAATTCTGTGTGTCACGCAGGCCTGTACGGATTTACTGCTGCACAACGAAACCAAGCAAAGAGGTGTGGGCGTGTCCATCCAGGTGCTCTGAAGAACCCTCTGGAAACAGTCTGAAATGAAAACACTGAATCAAAGAACTGAATCATTCACACTCACCTTCATAAACACATCAGAGTTTTTCATTCTCCTATTCTCATTTAATACAAATGTGGAGCTGCAGTTCCTCAAATCTCCACTAGAGGCTGGGTCCAAAAGTGAGTCAGTCCCTGCTCATCCCATCACAAAAGTTGAATGAATACATTACTGTGCAGCACCTGTGAAACATGGAGGGAGTTCCTCTTTCATACTCTGGGCTCACACTGCCCTCTAGAGGCAGAAATGAGAAACTACAGAGTCAGAGAAGTTCAGAAAGGTTCTCCTGCTGACTCAAACAGTGAAACACATAAAAAATTAAAACATTTTATTTAAAACTGAAAGTACTTCAGCCGGTGTGAACGCTGCACTCTGTCTCTAACGATCCTCCAGAGAGATTATTTACATGTGTGTGTCTGTATATCATTTAGGATTTAGATTTAAAAAACACAGATATGAATGTGATTTTAAAGAAGCATGACTAAATGTTTGGTTATCACTTCTATCTGAACCACTTCTCGCTCCCGCTTCCATCTGAAGCTTCAGTGTCCACCACATGACAACCTGTGTGAGCATCGATTCTAGAGAGGAGGGGGGAACAGCTCTTTATCATGTTTAGAATCTGAACTGCAGTACCGGTTTTAAACACTAGGTGTCAGAGTTACAGACTGCTCCTTTGAAGAAGATCAAATGCAAAAATCCCAGAATGAAAAAGAACTTGAATATCGGACTCAGTGTTTCTTAATCTGCTGGTTAATGTAGACGAAGCTTAAAGATCTTTTGATCCATAATTCATTTAAAAAAAGAGTTTGCAGGAGGAGATATAATTATGTAGCTCACAGATGTTAGACCGCACACACACACACACACACACACACACACACACCACACACACACACACACACACACACACACACACACACACACACACACACGCTTTCCTCTTTATGTGACACCAGCAAGCACAAACATGTTTTTTTAAAAGAGACTGAAGGTAGAAAGTAGAAACTAAAGAGTCTCTTTACTGATCAAATATCTACAGAAACTTGAAATTAATTTAAGCATTCACAGAGAGGATAGATAAAGATATGACGTTAAGTTTTGTGTTATTTATCCATATTTTCTTTATTGATGTAAATATTTAGACCCTCATCACATCAGATGGTGAACAGCTGTGAGGGAGCTTTAGGACTCTTTTCATGGTGTAGCTTCAGTTGACACAGAAATGGAAGTTTAGCAGCTGCTAGGTCAGAGACGTGTGTGTGTGTGTGTGTGTGTGTGTGTGTGTGTGTGTGTGTGTGTGTGTGTGTGTGTGTGTGTGTGTGTGTGTGTGTGTGTGTGATAGAGGGACCATCTCCCACTTTTTTTTTTTCAGGGTTTTAAACGATATATTTGTCACTACCCACGAGTCCTTTACGTTGGGATGGATGTTAATAAATGCCTCCACTAGAGGGTGATCTCTCTTTTTGGCCTTAGTGCTCTATCGTGCACTTGAGAGGCTGAGCACGTTCACGACTTTGGTGGTCATGATTTTTTTTTAGAAGTTTCTGCTTGGAAGTTAGGCTTCATAAATCCTCTGTATGGCCTGGAAGAGCATCACAACAAAGATGAACACAGACAGAGTTAATGTAAAGATATGTGCTTCTGTACGGATCACTTTGTGCTCCTGTCTTTAAAATAATCTACAAATGAAGTTGTATTTTATTATTGAATGCAGGACTTTCTCTTTTAGTGAGGTTGGTTTTTAACCTGACTGTCCGCTGTGTTTCAGGTTTACCCAGCATTCAGACGGGACGTTGATAATCGGCCCTCTGAGGTCCGATGACTCGGGCGTCTTCACCTGCACGGCGTCCAGCCAGCAGCAGCTGGAGCAGAGACAGCTGCAGCTCAAAGTGCAAGGTCAGTTTGAATCCTTCAAATACACTCAAAACATGCAGTGGATGAAACGCTGTTTAGTCAGCGTTGAAGTCCAGGACTCAGAAGAAGGAGAGCTCACCTGTACGAGCGTTAATGTGTCGTCTTGTTCAGCAGCAGTTTGTGTGTCGTCATGGTGATGTGAAGATTTCAGTCCTATCACTGTGGATTTGACAAAAAGAATCATAAAATGTCAAATATAAGTTCTGATGTATAACAGGCTGGTTACAGGGATCTTTAAGTTTATCAGACGCCTGCAGCAGAAACACTCAGGGCGTCTCCTCGTTACTGAGCGGTGCACATTTAAACTCGACGCACAGCGCTGTAACTTTAATAATAATTTAAAACTCCAGTCACGCTGACGGGATCGTTCAGAGTCTGACGTTAATAAATGAAAAGTTTCCCACACGGTCAGTGGAGGTTCAGACGGTCAAACAGCTCTTCTTTATCAACCCTGAACTCCATCAGAGCTGAGATCAACTTTTTATTTATGATGATCAAAGACTCCCAGAGTACAGAGAGGTTAAAGGCTTTATATGTGATGTTTTGATCCAGCAGATGTCGCCCTTGAGCACCAGCATGAAACCAAAACAGCTCGCGCTGCATTGTTGTGTTAGCATGCTAATGCTAGCGATCTTTATTATGCTGGTATCTTCACACTGCATGTAAATTTACCTGAAATGAGCGTGATCTAGAAACACAGTTAAGCAGTGAGTACAGTATGTTATTCTTCTTTTCTCTAGTCCCTCAATTAAACAACTTTTATACACGAGGGGAGGAGTCAGCCGGCTGTCCCGGCGATGTAAACAAAGTGAAGATAGGACTCTGAAAACTCTGAAAACATCACAGACAGTGGGACTCGGGTGTTACACCCATTGTAGACAGTCATGACTCACAGAGTTATTTTCAGAGGATATACTTGATTTCTACATTTAAGTATGAAAAATCACATATAAAGACTTTAAGGTCAGAAGCTTTGACTTCTTTAAATCGTTAAATGAATGAGCTGAAGGAGAACTGACGGTTAACACTCAGACTCCACCTGAAGGACTCAGACTCTTCTTTGGTAACTTGAGATTTGAGATTTGACTAACACTTAAAGTTTAATGGCTCGACTACAACACTGCTATCAGGACTGTTTCTGTTCACTGCAGATATCTGTTTATACTGTCATGTCTCCCTCTCACCAGCAGAGGTCAGTATTCCTGTTGTTTCAGGATGATTCTCTCTGCAGGACATCGAGGAGCAGTGTGAGTGTTTAAAGTGTGTTTCTCTCTGTTTTGATCCTCCAGCCGACCTGAAGATCACCACCGCTCCAAATAGCATCCAGGTGTCTGAAGGCAGCACAGCTCTGCTGCCCTGCGTGGTGTCAGGAGACAACGTCAACATCGGCTGGTCCAGGTAAAAGATCACGACCCCTTCAAGCATGGATCCTGTTAGACCAGGAGGTGGGTCGGTGCTTTTGGTAACAGAATAATCTGAAAGAAGGAACTTGAGCTTTAACTGTTAGAAGAGTGATCAGTGTTTCCCACAGGATGGCGCTGTAGCTGGGCGGTGGTGTTGGGGGGGATGACACACAACGACCATCCTAAAGTACGGGTGTGATTCATGGATTGAGGCAGCTAATGGCGCCAAAAAAGAGTGCATCATTTGCTCCAGCGCTGATCACGTTCAGGCTCAATCACGTCCTGCTCCCTGCTCTTGTTTTGCCTCTTAATGTCACCGTTAGCTGTGCAGCGCAGTACGGCGTGCGTTTAGTGAATCAGACCCCGAGAGAAAAATATTAAAACAAAGACATAAGCAGCTTCTGTTTTCACACGAGATGCCGTTACAGAGCTCATGGAACATCACAGTTTTACTCTCTCCTGTCTTTCCTGCAGAAACGGCGTCCCGGTGCGTCCGGACGGTCGTAAAATCCTGACGTCGTCTGACGGCAGCCTGATCCTGAACAACGTGAAGCCTTCAGACGAGGGGACGTACACGTGTAACGCTTACACCGGCATCTACTCTGTGAGCGCCACGGCCGAAGTCAGAGTCACTAAAGACACACAAGGTGAGAAAAACACGGCGAGCTTCTTTTAGCGAACGCTTACACCAAAATCCCCGGGGAAGGATTTTAAAATCCTCTTCTCCATGTTCCTCTAACTCTAACATGTGTCTCTAGTCCGTCTACAAACCCCCCTATGATGAGAAAAGTCCATCCTCTCTGTCTTCTGCCTGCTCCACTTTTCAGAAAATGTGTGCTCAAACAGGCCGTTTGGAGATTTTCCCTTCATGACATCACAAAGGGCAGTAGCCCCTCCCCCAGGTGGGTGACACGCCCACAGCTAGGTGTTTGTTCTGCCCTCTGAGTCTGCCTTCTCACCGTAAACAATAGGACATGGAGCGAGGAAGACCGAGTACACCCAAGCCCTTCCAAAGAGGGGGTGTGGTCAGACACAGCTCATTTACATATTTAAAGGTACAGACACAGAAACAGCCTGTTCTGAGCAGGGCTGAAATAGAGAACGACCAAAGCACAGCACTCCACTCCAGGGTCCGGCTTCTCAGTGGATTTTATTTAAACTGATTTTATGCAAAAACAAAGAAAGTCAATAATCGTCTTTCTTTTCTGTCTCAGGCGGTGATGTTCCTCCAGAGTGCGTCGACCAGCCCGAGCTCGCCAACTGTGAGCTGATCGTTTACGCCCGGCTCTGCTCCAACTCGTACTACTCCAGTTTCTGCTGCGCCAGCTGCACCCGGCACTCACAGAGGAACAAAAGGTTCGGCCGACTCGGATAAAGCTGACGACGTTGTTGTTGTTGTTGTTTTGAAAGACTCTGGAGGTGAAGCCGTTTGGAGGACTGCATTCTTAAAAAAAACAAAAACACTTTGAACTCTGAACTACTGCGATCGCCAAAAAGACTGGAGACCCCGGACATCTGACCCGTTTGTGCAGAATCAGGATTCATAAAGGAATGACAAAGGGACCGATGACTGTAGATGAATCTGTGAAGCAGGAGTCTGTTTGTACACTGAATATAAAAACATAGAACCTGACCTGCTGTCAACACCAGCTGACTGTGATGAAACCTCCGAGACGTCCTGAACATAACTTATTAACCTGCTGACCCTGTTCTCTGTTCTCAAGAGAATCATCTCTCCCTCTCTCTCTCTCTCTCTCTGTCTCTCTCTCTCTCTGTCTCTGTCTCTCTCTGTCTCTCTCTCTCTCTCCCTCTCTCTCTCTCTCTCTCTCTCTCTCTCTCTCTCTCTCTCTCTCTGTCTCTCTCTGTCTCTGTCTGTCTCTCTCTGTCTCTGTCTCTCTCTCTCTCTCTGTCTCTCTCTCTCTCTCTCTCTCTCTCTCTCTGTCTCTCTCTGTCTCTGTCTCTCTCTCTCTCTCTGTCTCTCTCTCTCTCTCTCTCTCTCTCTCTGTCTCTCTCTGTCTCTCTCTCTCTCTCTCTCTCTCTCTCTCTCTCTCTCTCTCTCTCTCTCTGTCTCTCTCTCTCTCTCTCTGTCTCTCTCTCTCTCTCTCTCTCTGTCTCTCTCTGTCTCTGTCTCTCTCTCCCTGTCTCTCTCTCCCTGTCTCTCTCTCTCTCTCTGTCTCCCTCTCTCTCTCTCTCTTCACTCCGGTTTCACTGGAGGTCGAGCATTTTATCGAGAGGAGGTTGCTTTTAATTAAAGCACGGTTCGACCTTTTTACTGCAGTTTTTATCAATGTGTATGCTCCAACAATCGGTGCAGAGAGGAAGCTGTTTTTACAAAAAGTTAACCAGGTTTTAAATGGCTGTGCCTCGGAGGATTTTTTATTCTTGGGTGGGGATTTTAACTGTACAGAAAATGCATCTTTAGATCGCAACCATGCAGAGCCGCATCCAGTTTCCCAACATGTTCTGAGGCAGCTGGTCTATTCTCATGGCCTGGTGGACGTGTGGAGAAGGATGCATGCAGACTGCCGACAGTACACATGGTCCCACCTCAGAGAGAGTAGGATCTCCTCAGCTAGACTCGACCGTATTTATTGTTTTAAGCATCATTTTAATATTTTTAAAATGTGCAGTATTGTTCCTGCTGGTTTTACTGACCATTCTTTACTCTTGTGTAATGTTTTTATTCAAAACATTTTACCTAAAAGTGCTTATTGGCATTTTAATTCAGTCTTAACATTTGATAAACATTTTAAAGAGGTTCTTATTTATTTCTGGGATGTTTTTAGACAGAGGAAGGGTGAGTTTAACAGTCTTAGGCAGTGGTGGGACCATGGTAAGACTGAGATTAAACTTTTATGTCAACAGCACACCCTCAATGTCACCAGAGACATCACCAGATCTATGAAAGACCTGGAGACTGATATAGTGGAACTAGAAAGATTGAGCGAGTCCACAGCAAATCGAGGATATATTGAAATCCTCAAAGTCAAAAAGCTAGCTTTAGCCGACCTGTTGGATGTTAAAGTACAGGGTGCACTGGTCAGGTCCCGGTTTCAAACCATCACGGAGATGGATGCTTCCTCTAGTTTCTTCTTCGGCCTGGAGAAGAGGAGTGGGCAGAGGAGGGTAATCCACTCACTTTTAGCAGACACAGGGCAAACATTGACAGAGCCATGCCAGATAAGAAGGCGAGCTGTGAGTTTCTACTCGGCACTCTATTCAAGTGAGTATGAGGAGGAGGAAGCTCTGATGGAGGAGTTCTGTAATGGACTGCCTCAGGTCTCTGAGGAGACCAACACACAGCTCAACGGGCCGTTACAGATGCAGGAACTGAAGGCCGCTCTGCAGGGCATGCAAGGGCGGCGGGCTCCCGGCATAGACGGCCTGAGTGTGGAGTTTTACAAAGCCTTCTGGGACATCTTTGCAAAAGATCTTTTAGATGTTTTTAATGAAAGTCTGGCCTCTGGCTCAATGCCCATGTCCTGCAGGAGAGCCGTAATCACCTTGCTCCCGAAAAAAGGTAACCTGCAGGACATCAAAAACTGGCGCCCTGTGTCTTTGCTGTGTGTGGATTACAAGCTTCTGTCCAAACTCTTTGCCTCCAGGCTGGGGAAGGCTATGGAGCAGGTCATCCACCGGGACCAGACCTACTGTGTGCCCGGCAGGTCCATGGTGGACAATGTCCACCTCATTCGTGATGTTTTGGACGTCTCCAGCTCATCGGGCTGTAACACTGGTCTGATTTCTCTAGACCAGGAAAAGGCATTTGACCGCGTTGAACACAGCTTCCTCTGGAAAGTTATGGAGAAGTTTGGGTTCAGCGCTGGGTTCATAGCCAAGATCAAAGTGTTGTACAGTGGGGTTGAGAGTGTGCTGAAGTTTAACGGCGGCCTGTGTGCTCCTTTCAGGGTGTGTAGAGGCGTCAGGCAGGGCTGTGCTCTGTCCGGCATGCTTTACACACTCTCCCTGGAACCCTCCTTAACAATATACGCTACCACTCACAGGGCTTGGTTTTACCTGGTTTTAATAGCAACATTGTCTTAAGTGCTTATGCCGATGACATTGTTGTTTTTATTAAAGACCAGAGGGATGCAGATATTTTAACCAACATTATAAAACGTTTTAGCGTAACATCGGCAGCGAGGGTGAATTGGATAAAAAGTGAAGCCCTCGCTGTCGGTGAGTGGCGTGACGGTCTCCCAGTTCTTCCCCAGAGCTTGGCCTGGAGAACAGATGGCTTTAGTACCTGGGGGTTTTCCTCGGGAAAGAACACATAGTCCAGAAGAACTGGAGACTGTCACAGAAAAAATTGAGGGGAAACTTTCCAAGTGGAAATGGCTGCTCCCTCAAATGTCTTTTAAAGGTAGAGTATTGGTTTTAAACAACCTTGTAGCATCCCAACTGTGGCACCGTTTAACCTGTGTAGACCCCCTTCAGGCTTGCTAGCCCAGCTACAAAGAAAATGGTAGATTTTTTTTGGGATGGTCTACACTGGGTGCCACAAGGGGTGCTGTTTTTAACCAGGGAGGAGGGGGACAGGGCCTCGTCCACCTGGCCAGCCGGACAGCCACCTTCAGACTACAGTTCTTACAAAAATATCTGACAGGTCCGGCTGAGAGATGTGGCCAGCTGCATTCTCAGACGTGCAGATTTCCTGGGGCTGGATGCGCTCTGTTTTAATTGATTCTAAACTTTTAAAATTAAGTGGGCTGCCTCCGTTTTATCAGGGTGTTTTTAAGTCTTGGGCCCTTTTTAACTGTAAAAGGTGCCCAAAGTCTGACTCTCTGTACTGGTTGTTGAGAGAGCCATTGATTCACAGGGCCAAGCTGGACATCAGCAGCAGCGTCACCCCCGGCCTGACGGTGGCGCTGCTCAAAACCAAGACCCTGTGCCTGCAGCAGCTGGTGGATGCAGTGGGGCCGGCGCTGCGTGATGCCCGGGCCCTGGGCTCTCTTCTGGGCCTGCACTCTGTCCGGGTGGCGGGGAGGCTCCTGGAGCTGTGGCGCCAGAAGCTTTCGGGGAAAGAGAGGAGCCTCCTCATGGACTATGGTAAAAGAAAGGCCAGACCGGACCCTGCAGACCCCTTCCCTGAGTCTTCCTGAGCCCAGGCCTGGGGGAGCTCACCGGCCCCCTGCTGGCTATAGCACACCCAGAAAAGCTGACAATAAACAAAGCTGACAAAAAAACCTGGTACATGAACTGTGTGAAGGCGATCCACAAGGCCGGACTGTGCAACCGCCCCCCACTGTGTGGTCAAACAGGCTGGGAGCAATGGAGCCGGCCCACAGTGGAGGATTTTATATAAACCTCCCCTCAAAAAACGGACTGCCGACCTCCAGTGGAGGATTTTACATGGTGCTATTGCCTCCAATGCTTTTCTTTCTGTTCTTAACCTGCTGTTCTTAACACCTGTCCTTTTTGTTGCCTTCCAGAGACTGAATGTTTTTATAGAGTGTAAGAGGCTCACAAGCTTCTTCTCTCTTTTAACATTGGTTTTTAGTTTTTTTGATGTGGTTTTTACTGAGAGGGTTTTTATTATGGGAGCTGCCTACAAAAAAGAACAAAAAGATAAGTGGCAGCTCCTTAACTACCTTTCAGGTGAGGCAAAAATGGCTATTTACATTAGCAGAAAAAACAGAGTGGAGAACAGAGAGGGCAGGAGGCCAAAGCAGTGTGGCTGTAAACATTAGAGCGAGACTCTGGCTAGATTTTAGATTTTATAAACACATTGGAGACTTGGACGCTTTTAAACAGCGCTGGTGTTTTAATGACATAATTTGTTCAGTTGTTATGAAGAATTAGTTTTTATCAGATAAATTATTTATTTTTTTAAACATACTCGGATTTTAATGCATAGCACTTTGTTGAACAGTTGAACTGTAAAACTAAAATTATGTAAATAAAGTGTTTTGCAAAAATCAAAAAAAAATCTCTGTCTCTCTCTCTCTCTCTCTCTGTCTCTCTCTCTCTCTCTCTCTCTCTCTCTCTCTCTCTCTCTCTCTCTCTCTCTCTCTCTCTCTCCCTCTCTCTCTCTGTCTCTCTCTCTCTCTCTCTCTCTCTCTCTCTCTCTCTCTCTCGCTGTCTCGCTCTCTCTCTCTCTCTCTCTCTCTCTCTGTCTCTCTCTCTTCTCTCTCTCTCTTTTGACCACTCCTCTTTTTTTTAAACGACTCTCTGACATTTCACTGATGAAGTGTTGGGTTTCATCTCTGGGCTGTTTTTTTTATTTTTTTATTGTAATTATTTGATAATAAAAAAACAATATTTTGATAAATAAATAAAAAGCTGCTGTGTTTTGTGTGAATCCTGTTTGACTTGACGTTCCAGTCTGCACCACAGGGGGGCGCCAGAGTGTGACTGTCTCAGGGTTAAATATATATCCTGTCTTTATTTATTGACTCATTAGTTTATCACTGTTGTCCTTAAACTGAGCTTTTTATCTGTCCGTGTGGGTGTCATTACCCAAAGAGACCACACGAGGGGGTCAGCGTGCCAGCTCTGTGTGTTTGTTATTTCTGATGTTCTTCATCTGATGTTTGTTTGTAAATGTATTCATGGTCGGGGTGGACTGTGGAACCTAATTCCCTGTAAGTCTAAATATTCATTCTGGAGTTAATTAAACATTTTATAGTCCTGACATAGTGGATGAAGGATTCCCGGCCCGAGTTAGAATCTGACCTGTAGCTCCTTCCTGCATTCCTGTATCATTTAAACTACTGAGCTAACGGCTCGTCTTAAAGCTGCCTGTCCCAAAGAAAAGAAGAGTCATTTCA